AGTCATTTTGTCTACTTAATTAATTAATGTCCCTTCTGCATAGGAATTACCTAATGGACATTATGTGCTATAAAATATTCTCACACTATGTGCCCCCTCCCTAGTATTCTCATCTGTCCCTCCATAGTATTCTCCACCTTTTACAATCTTTAGTCTTCCAGACTCCTGAACAATAAGCTAGACAAACATCTGTCATTGTCCATGAGTATGTTCTTACCTTGGCCACTTCTGCCTAAATTCACTGCCTGAAGCTCTGCCATGACTAAATACACTGCCTGAAGATCTGACAACTAAAAAGATTTCCCTTCTGAATCTCAAAACCATCCCTGAGTGGAGCAACAGAGTAACAGCAGATATTCTCAGCTTGCATCTCTTCCAAACAGAACCATTCATGAAAAAAGCATGATTTTTAAAAATTTCTTTGTCAACTGGTCATAGGGAACCACCCCTGAGACCATAGCTATGAGTTCAGAGAGAAGCATTGGCATAACAGTGATAGATGATTTGGGAGCATCAACCACCAGTTTGTGTCTACTCACTCGTATTCTCTAAACCTGTTTGAACCTAATTGCATACATATTGGATTCCTTGCAGTAGATTGCTACTGCAACTGCCTAACCTTATGACAGAATAAATTTGAGAGTAGCTAATTTGTGATTTCTTGGTGTCTAATAGTTACTTGATATCCTATGGCTAGATTTTCAGTTTTTACTAGGGCCCAGAATCATGACAAGAGTAATAGTTCTGTATAACAGATGGCATGGCCTTGCTTCAGAACCCTGTGGTCTATACAGTGACTCACCTATTAGGGCTTGCCAGGAGTACCAATGACATCTTTCTCTAGTACCGTGGGATCTGCTGACTCATATGGTCCAAATGATAGGTCTGCTTGTACCAAAGGATATACCTACTACAGAGCCCTTTATTGCCCTGAGATTCACTAAAAGCTAGTAACTTTTCCAAGTCACCTAATAAATGCGTTGCCAAGCAGTGTGAATATGCTATCTTCAAAACCCAAGGAGGCCTACCATATATGCTCCTTTTTTTCCTTTGTGATAGGAAGTCAAGGTACAAGACTTTGTCTTGTACTTTAGAGGGGATGTTCCAAAATGCTCCAGATTATTGGACCATTAAAAACTTCACCGATGTGACAACCTCCTGAATCTTGGTAACTTTATGTCCCACTCTCTAGAGTATCTTACTAAGTTGTACAAAGTAGTTTTCAATTTTGGCTCCTAAGTTTTAATTAACATGATGGCATCCATATAGCAGACCGATGTAATGTTCTGCTGGATGTCCAGGTTTTTCAAGTCCCTTTGGATTGTATTACGAGAGAGAGAGCAGAATAATTAACATTGCCGTGCGGCAAGTGTATACCATATCCATGCCATGTGGGTGCAACGTGTTTCTGATCCTCATTCCTGATAGTTAAACAAAATAACATGTTGAAATCTCACTCTCACACAAATTTGTCCATTTGATAAATTTGAGATTTTTGCACTTTCTTTTTACGTTTTTAAATGGATACATAACTTACATACAAAAGTGAATGTTTATCATTTATCAATTATTTAAACATATACATACTCCCAAGCTACCACCATCTCAATACACAGAACATTTTCAGCATTCTAGAAAGTTCCAGGCCAGTAAATACTCTCCAGTGATAACTACTACTATGAGATATCATTGTAGATTATTTTGCCTTCTTTTGCACTTCATAAAAATGTAATTATTTGTCTGCATTTTGTTCATTTTAATTGTTGTATAGTGTTTTACTCTTCCATAATTATTTGCCAATTCTGTTGATGAACATTTAGGTTGGCTTCTGTTTGAATATATATTTAATAAGCTACTATAAATATTGCTGGGTATATGCTTTATTTTGGGAAAAACTTATTTAAAACACATTTGTAAATCAGTAATACATGTTCCAAGTCTGTATTAATGTGCTCTAAAAGAGATACCAGATCTAGCAAAGCAGCTGCAATGGGGTCAATATTTAATAGCCCACTGCCACACACTATCATCCACCAGTTTTTGTAGGGGCCAGAGTGGCAAATTAAACAGAACTATAATAAAGAACATCATACCAACATTCTTTAATATTTGAGAATGGTGCTGATCTGCCATTATCCCAGACTGTAATAGTGTTTTAGTTTTTTAAAACTGGCTATCTTGGTAAAAGAGGGGCAAATTCTAAGATTGCTATTTTAACTTTCCTTTTTTTCTATATTTTTATTGATGCATTATAGTTGTACATAAGGGTGGGACTTGTTACATATTCATACATGTACACAATATAACAATATAATTTGGACAATATCACTTACTTGGATTTTCCTACTGCAATAGCCATTGCTCCATAGCCCATGGAATCAATGTGAAGATTCTGCCAAACTGCTACCTTTTTGCATTCTCCAGGAAAATAACCACTGGTTGGGCCCATGGCCTGGGACAGACCTCTTTTATTGCCTGACTGTCATTCACTCCTTTATCATCATAAGACTGTTATTCTATGAACTCAAATCTCTTAAGCATCATACATATTATACCAAATATACACAGAATCCTTTAATTTTATGGTTTTATTTCTTTTACATCTCTTTATTTGTAATTATTAAGTTGTGTAATTAGCTGTGTGTAGAGTACACACCTATAATCCCAGCAACTCAGGAGGTTGAGGCAGGAGGACTACAAGTTTGAGGTTAGCCTCAGAAATTTAGCAGGGCCTTAAGCAACTTAAAGAGACCTTATCTCAAAATACATAAATGGGTCTGGGAATATAGCTCAGTGGTAAAGCACCCCCGAGTTCAATCTCCAGTACCCCTGCCAAAAAGTCCTTGAATTGAGATACATACACACTAAAAAGGCCAGATACCAATCCAGTAAACTGAGATTATTTAGATTAGAGGTTTTAGCAGGTTTTGAGACCTGGAAATAGGCATCCAAATGATTCATGTCTCTATGCCAACTTTCCTTCTAGTTCTCTTTAGTAGTCACACTGTTTCAGACTACAAAAATGGAAACAAAGTGTTGAATTCAAATTACTTATTGCTTGACTCTACTCTCCAAAACATGTAGCTTCCTACCTGATAAATCACTTGACCATATTTTTGCACTTGTTGGCTTTTAGGAGAGTCTTTTCCATTTAACATTTAAAAAGTACTTGCACTTGATGAAGTACTGCATGCTTTAAAACTCATATTTAAAATGATTTTTGCCAATTTTGGATATATCACATGGTTCACTCACAGGATTAACATTCATTAATTCTGTTGTCATTTCTCTGCTTATCTACCCAGTAGGTGAGGAGACTATCTGCCAGGTGCCATGCTAAGTTTTGGAACTATAAAAATAAGTAAAATAATTTGTTTATCTTTAAGGAGCTTGGGTTCTAGGTGGAAAAGACCTATAAATTAACAAGAAATCACTCTAAGTACTTGCTCAATGGCTGTCTTTTTCCGTTGAAAAAAGGAGCAAAGACCTTGTTCCAGGAGGATATTTTTGTTTGATTTACTGCTGTTTTCACCAGCACTAATATATAGTAAGACTCGGTATTTGTTAAATAAATGTCAATGCTTTAAAAGAAATATTTACAGGGTTGGGGGTGTAGCTCAGTAGTAGAGCTCTTGTCTAGCATGAATCATGGCCTGCGTTTTCTCCTATAGAGAGGAGAAAGAGAGACAGAGAGAGTGTGGAGTAGGGAGAGGGAGAGAGGCATGGAGATGGGGTGGGGGGTGGGGAGCTCACAAAAGGAACATAAGCTTTTGTGTGGCTATTGCACTACAGTGAGGTGAAGGGAACACTTCTGGCGTATCAGGAAACTTTCTTTAAAGATGAGGTTTGAGCTGAGTTCTGGGAGATGGAGGAAATTAGTTAGGTAAAAGGTAGGGGGTTGTTCAATAGTTCCTATATCTTATTGAGGAACTTCAAGTAGTTGGGGAGTGCCAAGATATCATTGGTAGGAGTATACAGCACAGAAATCTTGAAGAGCCTCGTAGGTTACTTTACCTATACTTTTTTTTGTTGTTGTTATCTACATCAATATGCTGATTAAAAGAAAAGAAAGGAAGAAGAAGAAAAAAAAAACTTGTCCATTTACCCCTATTACAATGATAGCTCCCTAATGTTAAGAATTGCTTGTTGTTACTCAGGGATCCAGAATAATGATGGGGACATTGTAGTTCCCCAAAAGCTAACGCAATAATGAACCGAATGAAAGAATGACGAATAACAGTAGTGTGAGCAAGTCAAGTGATTAAGTAATTGGATAGTGGGGGTGTCAGGAATGGGCCCTATACTAGCCTGGGCAGAGACCTAGTCAGGATCTTAACTAATGGTAAATTTGGCAAGTGTCACATCTTGGAGGCGGGGGCGGCGGTGGAGACAGAAGAATGCTGGAAGTTTCAAAACAAAGTCCAAATACAAACACTTTAGAATTTATTAGGATTTGTAATTTCCAGGTCCTAGAGAGCAATCAGGGAAAGGTCCAGGATGGTTATAGTACATTACCCCCGGACAGTAATGAAATAGGAACAGATGGTTGGTTGCAACTTTCTTGCCAGGCTCAGCAGATGAGTGACATCAAAGCTCAAAGGAAGGGCTGTTACTTCCCAAATGTGAAAAGAAGGCTGTGTAATTGCGCTACTGCCGATGCCACGAGCGCAGAGCAGCCGGGTATTCAGACTCGGGAAAGACGTCCCGTGACAACGGCGTTAAGGGCGGAACGCAATACGTAGGCACGTTGGCTCCCGCCGGACACAGTTTCTAGACGCACCGGCGAGCTGCGTGCGGCCCGGCAGCTGAGCTGCTCCCTTCCGCTGAGTGGGCAGCCTGGTGGTTGGAGACTGTGAAAAGACTTGAAACCGACCGTTCTTCATATTTTCCCCTTCGGCTGGACGACCCCGAGCTGCGGGACGTACTTCCGGCGTCTCTCAGTGGACCATTAGAGAGCACAGAGGCCTCTGGAGGCGCGGCGGCAGTCCCTCCCGCTCCCAGCTACGGCCTCTGACTCTCGAGAAGACAGCCACCCATTGCAAAATTTTCTCTGGGCCGGAGACCGGCCGCCCAGTTCGTAGAAAGGTGGGCTTGGGGGGAATACTCTGGATTCCACCACTACTTCCTGGAGACGCCGCGGGAAGCAGGCCATTCTTGGGGCCACCCACCTATTCCCCGATTGGTTAATGGTCTGTCAATGAACTTCTCTAGCTGGTGATTGGTTCAGATGCACCGTCTGTCACCTGCTTCCCTGTGGGAATCTAGGTCGCTAAGGGAAGCGTTACTTGAGGCTCGGTTGAGAAGAGGTTGGTTGGGCCCCGGAGCCCAGTTTGTTTATTCTAGTGGAGACGGTCCCCCGGCGCGAGCTTCCATTGCAACGGCCAGGAAAAGAACCAGTAGCGGGACTGAAGGTGGGGGTGGAAAGAAAGTGAAGGTTTAGAAGTAAACTGCAGTCACTTAACCCTGGCTGTCTCTGAATGGGAACGTGATTGGAAGGAAGGCCTTTGAGAGAGGAGGAGACTAATCCCAGGAGCAGTGACAGTGTAGGAATCTAGGCCTAAATTTTGTTGTGGGGCAAAAAGGGCCTTGAGAGAGATTTTTTTATGACCTAATTGTATGGGGATCCAATTTTCTAGATGATTGTATAACAGAATCCACTGGAGAATTTGCTTTAGCTTTGCGGCAGAGTTGGGAGATAACTACCAGGTGTTCCTGGCCTTCAGAGGGACAACTTACTGAATAATTCAACTCTCTTTTTATTGCTTCAGATGGGCAGCTCTCAAAAAAGACACAAACAGCTGAAGGATGGATACCATTGCATATATTAAAAGCATGTTGAAAGAAAAATAAGGTATTCACTTTAATTGTGGTTAATTGTACCAGAATATTATCTTTGAGGAGAAGCTCTTAGGTTTTGAATAATAATAGTGTGGCTTGATTTTATGTTAGGTTTCAACTTTTTAAATTGCTCATTACAAAATTCATCTTATTGCAATACCTACGATTCTCTCTTTGCTGTTATGATCCTGTTAATTCTGGAACTGGAAAATTCTGAGTTTTTAGTGGTTAATTAGCATTTGACTGTATAGTGCTAACATATTTTTCATTTAGATGATGATGTAATAACCATTACATCTGTAAAAAAAAAAAGTCTTGAATTTGTAATTTAATATACAGATACATGTGAAATCAGATGGTTGTTAACTCTTACAGCAGTTTAGACTTGTAGGCTAACTTAAAGCAACCTGCTTATTAATAAATACCTGCTACATTTTGAGAGGTCAAATTGCAACAGTTGTTTCCCTGGCAGCCTAGCCATTTAAGCTTAAGCCTGTATTGGGTCAGGTGCTGCATTACATACTCCTTAGTGACCTAGCAGTAATTGTCAAGGAATAGTTTTTTCATGCACAGAACACTCAGATTGGCTCTTAATGATATACCTAGGCCCTACCTTGGAAAATTCTAATCAAGGATTGGGGATGAGATCTGGGCATCTGGATTTTTAAAAATTTCTTCAAGTGAGTCTGATAACTTTTATATAACTGATTTACTAAATTGATATGCTTAAGAAATCATGAAATATTTATGAGACAGTTTTCTCCCTTAATTTCCTTATAGTTTAAAAGTAAGTTTCTTAGGAATGACATTAAATGTAATCCAAAAATAGCATTTTTTTTTTAGGCAAAGCCTGGAAGTTTAATTGGCACTCAAAAATCCCAAGGACTAACCATTACAGGCTGAGGGATGAGACTGGATATGGGGAAACAGAGGCTCTGTTGCACTCTTCACGGTCCTCAGAACTATGCATGGTATATTATTTCCTGTTTGGTTTTAGAGTCTTCCTGTTAGTTTTGAAAGGGAGATCAACTCCAAGTCTGTTCAGTAGATACATTAGGCTAAATTATTTTTACCTCAACAAATGTCAGTGACGATGGTGAGAGTAATATTACATTTATGAATCTTACTTTGGAAGGAACACTTTGTTCGAAATAAATGTAAGCTATACCCCTCCCAAATGCCTTTGCTTATTAAGTAAAGAACATGCATAGTTCAAACCTAAAATTTTGCTTATTAAGTAAAGAACATGCATAATTCAAACCTAAAATTTGTGTGTTAACACGAATTTTACTCAGATATTTAGAACATAAATGGGGCTTTTAGACCAACTTTATTAGAGAATTAAAGAGATAAAAAAATTCATCACTTTTGTATTCAGATATGAGAAATGAGAAATATGTGCTGAACTCAAATTCTGTCTGACTAAACAATGGCTTTAGTTTAGTGGTAGGTTCAGTTGTGTACTATCTTATAACAATTGTTTTTCATTTTTTATGTAAGTTCCTTCTGCAAGGTTTGGCAAATGAAGTATTTGAGTAGGGGGTAAAATTTAAAAATAAAAAAACTGTAAGTTTAAAATGCAAGGCTATATGTAGTCTATAACTAACACCTTGAATTTTGTATATATTATTTGAACAGGAAGCCAGGACTCTCAGGATGAATCAGTCTAGATCCAGATCAGGTGACGGTGGTGAAGAAACCTCATCTCAAGACCATAATCATCGTGAAAATGAGAGAAGATGGCAGCAAGAGCGTCTCCATAGAGAAGAAGCCTATTATCAATTTATTAATGAACTCAATGACGAAGATTATCGACTAATGAGAGATCATAATCTTTTAGGCACTCCTGGTAAGGAATGAGTAAAAGAGGAGACACCATTTTCATCATTGGAAAGAGGAATTTCAAACTAAGAAGAGGTTTTTTTTTTTTTTCCTCCTCTATACTTTCTTCTCCCAAAACATTGTGTACTGTTTTATTTATTTTTTGTTAGTTTTAAGAACTTTTTAATATAACAAAGTAGAAAATCAGTGGCTTCTGTATTTTTAAGTAGGTGAGATTATTGGATATATTGGACATATTATACAAATGCAAAATTTAAAACATATGTAGTCCTATTTATTTTAAGTAATATTTATGCAAGTAAAATATTTAAAATACAATTTGAACTCATTTGGGGTGTTATAATTTATGTATTCAGCTAGATTGATAACCCCCCAAAAGTCCATACATTTTTTACAAATAAACTAACTGAAATTTATATATTTATATGATGTATGCTTATTGTTGATAGCCCATATAATGAAGTATTGGGGTAACATTCAAGTAAACAGACTTGAAGTTTTTTCTAGAGAACCTCTCCTTTCTTAATTTCTTTTTAACTCTGGAAAAAAATGTACTTAATTATAGCTTATAGGTTCTTGTATATATATCAATTGAGTACTAACTATTCAAATTAAATCTTAGTTTAAAAAATTTAATAAAATAGTAATAAATGAGACACAGCCAAATTGGTATATATTTGTGTCAGTTGAAAATTTTAACTGTTTTCAATTTATAGAACATTGTCTTTAGAGGTTGCTAAAAATTGGTCTTAACCTGCATGAGTTTTCATAAAAACTGGTAATTTAAAATTCTTAAAAAGCAAATTTTAATTGTTTCAGGAGAAATAACATCAGAAGAACTACAACAACGATTAGATGGAATGAAGGAACAACTAGCATCGCAGCCTGATTTGAGACATGGGACAAATAACAGAGGTACTGTGGAGTTCTTTCCATAAATAACAGGCTTGATTGGAGTAGTTGCCAAAATGAAAATACTGTATCCTGGATAATATGTTTATTTTTAATATTTTTCAGTTTTAATGTGATACTCATTCAGGTAATATTTATGTATTACATGCAGAGAAGACTGGTTAGGCAGTATGGGACAGAAGATTAATAAAAGATGTTTTACACAGATTGCCTTCAGGCAATTTATATATATATGAAATAATATACAATTAATTACCAGCACAGTTCTTTTTAATATTAGAACATACACACTACCTTTTCTATGGTGATGTAACTAAGCTTAGCTTCTAAAAACTAGTGTACAGAATAATACAGAAATTCTGAGAGTTAGGAAACCTTTTTTCATTTCATTTGTTGGTTTGTTTTGTTTTATTGAGTAAACACTAAGCCACAATATAAAAACTTCTTATAAAAAAAAAGTTCTGATAGAAAGAAAAAAAAAAAAGAAAAACTAAAGACAAGCATATAGAATTAAAAGCACACCCTGATTTCTTACTTCCCTCCCCAGAGGTATTCATTGTTAGTAATTTCACATATGCCAAAATCATTGTATTAGTTATAGTTAGTAAAAAACCCCCACAAATTCAAAAACCTTAAAATGCAATGAATGGCTCAATAGATAGTAGTTTCTTTTTTATGCTAATAGCCCAAGGAATGAAGATAAACTTTGCTCCACAAATCTTCCTGTGACCCACACAGCTAGCTGAGTTGTTCTATAATTCTGCTATCCAGTGCAGTAACAACTAGCTACATGTGACTATTTAAGTTTAAATTAATTAAAATCAAATGAAATTTAAAATAAAGTTCCTCAGTCATATTTTTGTACTCTGTAGTCCCATAGAAACCAGCTACTGGTTTCTGTATTGGACAGCAGAAATACAGAAAGTTTCCATTATTGCAGAAAGATGTATCCTGCTAATCCAGGATTTCATTTGTATGATCATGCTAAGTCACAACCACAGCTAAGTTTCTCTGGCACTTAAGTGCCAGACTGTCATATGCCCATTCACAATGTGTTTACAATGTAAGAAGAGTAGGATAGAGTTAGTAGATAATTAGCGACCTCTTCCACACATGTTGTCATTAACACATTCTAGTTAATCAGAGAAGGAGGTAACATTTAGAATGATTAATGTTTGCTTGCCTTTAATTACATCCTTTTCCAGACTGAAATGAAAATTTTATATTAACCCATTTTCTCCTTTGTATTTAATATGTAAGTAGTACTACATTGATAGAAATTTTAATATTGGCCTTTTGAATATGTTTTATTCAAAACTATACTCATTCAATGTAAAATACTTCATCATCTTTAGAATATGCCCAAGATTACCAGTTATTTTATTGTCTCCAACAGTTTATTAATACCTCTAGCTTCAACATTTAAAAAATGTTTATGAAAGAGACTGAAGTAATGAAATAAACCTAAGAAATCTCATTTAACAGCTACTTTTTAGTAGAACAAACTTTAAAGTTGAAATCTGTAAAGGTAATGTGTGCCATTGAGTTTTATGCTTTATATAATTTACTGGTAACAAATGGAAAAGTAAGTGTGGCACAGTGACTATATTATTGTCAAAAAAGCTTATCTGGGACACAATGATTTCTAAATTGATTTATTCAATAATATTAATTAGGAGTTTGGTACCACATACTATTGTGGAGGCTGAGGATTTAACAGTAACTAAAATAAGTAAAAAATCTTCATCTTCATGAAGCTTACATTCTAAATGAATAGAGAATGCATTTTATTTTATATTTATTTTTTAGTTTTAGGTGGACACAATATCTTTATTTTACATTTATGTGGTGCTGAGGATCGAACCCAGTGCCTCATGCATGCTAGGCGAGCGCTCTACCACTGAGCCACAACCCCAGCCCGAGAATGCATTTTATTATGTATAACAGCTGACATTTATTGAGTGCTTCTTGTATGCCAGGTATTATACTAATAATTTTATATACATTGTATATAATAAAATATATATTTTTATCCTAATAAAATATATATTTTTATCCTAATGATAACCTCATGAGATTGATACTATTATTAGTTCTAATTTATAGACAAGAATACATCCATAGAGAACTTCAGTAATTTGCTACAGTCTTCCAGTTTCACACAAAGACAACTAATGTGGTTCTAATATTATGTTTGGAAAGCTAGATTTCTTCTTGAATGTATGTTTTTTGGCACTTCCTGAGATATAAAATTCCTAAGGCTACAAAAATACTTAGTTGCAAAAATGTTGATTTAGTTGCAAAAATGTTGATTTAGTTGGCTTTAAAAGAAAGATTTCACAGATAACAGGATGAGTTTTACATAAAGTTTGCCAATGTATTTTATTAATATTAGTACATGAAGTAAAAAAGTTTAAATGTACACTTTTGGTATTGGATATATTTCTCATTTGAATATTTTGCCACAAACAGAAAGCAGGTATGGGAATTTCTCCAACTTTGAATAAATAGTATTTGAAGTTTTGTAATTACATAAATAGTATTACTATTTTTAAAAATGTTTTTAGCTGTAGATGTACACAATACCTTTATTTTATTTGTTTTTATGTGGTGCTGAGGATAGAACCCAGTGCCTCACCTGTGTGAGGCAAGTGCTCTACCACTGAGCCACAACCCCACCCCCAGTATTACTATTTTTATAATATGCTTATAGTATATACTTTTAGGAAGTTCATAGTTTTTGTTTTTTGGCCATTTTTCTTTCATTAAAACTCACAGATGTTCTTCAGTACAAACTAATTTTCTTATAAGCTTTTAAAAAAGTTCTAAGGACAGATTTTAGGAGTTGGATCTGAAGTTGATTTGATTTGCTTTCCAGACTCAGAAGTCCCTCGAGAAAGTTCAAATGAAGATTCTCTGCTAGAATGGTTGAACACCTTTCGTCGCACAGGAAATGCAACTCGAAGTGGACAAAATGGGAACCAAACTTGGAGAGCTGTGAGTCGAACAAACCCAAACAGTGGAGAGTTTCGGTTTAGTCTGGAAATCCACATAAATCATGAGAATAGAGGATTTGAAATTAATGGAGAAGATCATTCAGGCATTCCACTTTCAGATATTAGCAGGGATCGTACTAGCAATAGGCAAGAAAGATCAACTAGTCCTGTGGCTAGGCGAACAAGAAGCCAAACCTCCATGGATTTCAGTGGTAATAGTGCCACCATTACAAGGACAAGGCTTGGTTCAAGGGAGCAGAATTTAGTTGAAGGATCACTTTCAACACTGGGAAGGTTAAGGAATAGAATTGGGCAGGCAGTTGGCATTCCTAGAACTAGTGCTTCGCGTGCTAATTTTAGTAATCACACAAACCAATCAGGTGGTAGTGAACTCAGGCAAAGGGAGGGGCAAAGATTTGGAGCAGCACATATTTGGGAAAATGGAGCTAGAACTAATGTCACAGTGAGAAATACAAACCAAAGATTAGAGCCAATAAGATTACGGTCTGCTTTCAGCAGTCGAAGCCGTTCACCAATTCAGAGACAGAGTGGCACTGCTTATCATAATTCCCAAAGGGAAAGTAGACCTTTGCAGCAAACAGTTAGAAGGTCTGTGAGGAGGAGAGGTATAACTCGGGTCTTTGTAGAGCAAGATAGAGAACGCAGAGGTACTGTAAGTGCCCCATTCTCTAATTCAAGACTTGTGTCAAGAATAACAGTAGAAGAAGGAGAAGAATCCAGCAGATCCTCAACTGCTGTACGACGACATCCAACAATCACACTGGATCTTCAAGTGAGGAGAATTCGTCCTGGAGAAAATAGAGATAGGGATAGCATTGCAAATAGAACCCGCTCTAGAGTAGGGCTAGCAGAAAATACAGTCACTGTTGAAAGCAATAGTGGGGGCTTTCGCCGAACTATTTCTCGTTTAGAGCGGTCAGGTATTCGAACCTATGTTAGTACCATAACAGTTCCTCTTCGGAGGATTTCTGAGAATGAGCTTGTTGAGCCATCCTCAGTGGCTCTTCGGTCTATTTTAAGGCAGATCATGACTGGGTTTGGAGAATTGAGTTCTTTAATGGAGGCTGAGTCTGAGTCAGAGATTCAGAGAAATGGTCAGCATTTACCAGAGATGCATTCAGAACTGAGTAACTTAGGTACAGTTAATGAAAACAGCCAGCTCAGTGAAGGTTCCTCTCAAGCCAGAGAAGCCCAAGAAGACAGCACTGAAATGCAAGCTGAAAATGAGACCACCCAGCCTCAGACTCAAAACAGTGACAGTAGAGGAGGCAGGCAGTTGCGAAATTCAAACAATTTAGTTGAAACTGGAACACTACCTATTCTTCGCCTTGCTCATTTCTTTTTACTAAACGAAGGTGATGATGATGATCGAATACGTGGTTTAACCAAAGAGCAGATAGACAATCTTTCCACCCGGAACTATGAGCATAATGGTATTGATAGTGAACTAGGTAAAATCTGTAGTGTTTGTATCAGTGACTATGTAACTGGAAACAAGCTCAGGCAATTACCTTGCATGCATGAATTTCACATTCATTGTATTGACCGATGGCTCTCAGAGAATTGCACTTGTCCAATCTGTCGGCAGCCTGTTTTAGGATCCGGCATAGCAAATAATGGGTGAAATGATGGGATCTATTCAAATATTGTATTTTAATAGAGATGACTATTGAAGCATTCTTTTGTTGAGTTATTTGTGATGAGCTAACCAGGATGAAAAATAACAGATTATAGTTTAAACTATTTTTTGTGTGCTTTTTTAACTTGTTAAAAAGAGGAAATTTATATGAAATTTAAAATGCAAATGTTAAATTATCCAAAAGTCCAGAATAGTTAATATTGCTAGAACCAAATAACCTTTAAAATGTTTTTATTTTGGTAATTTTGTCATGCTAAGCACTTTTGTATCTGCACAATTCAGTAAGTTGAAAATCAGTCATTGTTAATACTACAGCAGACATTTCTTGGATTTTCAAGTTTCATAGGCTTAGTGCTAAGTCAAGACATTGGTGTCTAAGCCTTTGAAAGAATGTTTGGCTGAATGTTTGCTAAATATAAATATTTAAGTTACTTGAAATGATAATTTAATACACAGTATACCTTGTGTGTATATATATATAGATAGATATATAATTTTAAGATTAAAATGTCCAGTCTAAAAACTACAAGTTTGATTCTTATTTAAGCTTTTTGGACTAATACTACATATGGCACAATGTTTACTATTGACAAGATCATCTCTGAGAAGATTAAGATATAATTCTGAAGTAAAGATAATTTACTGAAGCGTCTCTGACAATCTGACTTACTAGATAGCAAGCAATATGTAATACTGAACAAGTATTTTTTATTCAGGAATGGGACATGGAAAATTTAGGTCATATAGATTATTTAACTTGAGTTCAGCCTTTTTTGTGACTTTTTTGGAAGTGCAAATAATTCTTTGGATTAAGTATAAGGTATACAAGATGCATGGTTTTTTCAAATTTAGATTTTAAAATGCATAGATAAAATGTTAAGTTCACTTGGAGGTCAAAAAACTCCAAAGAAAACAAGAAGAAACCTTAAGAGAATGTATAATTTCTATAAACACAAAGTATGCATTGAAGATCTATTTCTACCAATAAATATTAAAACAAAGACTGCATGTGAATTATTTTTTTCCTATGCTTCACTGTAGCTTATTCACCCTCCAAATATTTATTTCTTACTGGGTGCCAAGCAGGTGTTGTGGATTCTTCAGGTGCTAGATGGCCAGAAGTCCCTGTCTTCATGGAAAAGATGTATTTGCTCTTAGAAGTCAAAGATCAATTGATAACATAAATTACTGTTCTTACTTTCATGTTTGCTTATGAACAATGTGTTAGATGGTTATACTTGTCCCTTGATGATTGTAGTGGCAAATGATGAGATCATTTTCATGTTTCAGAAGGAATTGCTCTATTACAGCAAATAGAACACAATGGAATGGAGAGAAATGAGAAGCAAAGAAACCAATAAAAGAACTATTGCAATAAGACATCATTATCATTTTTATTACCAGTTGTCGTCATCATTATCAGTTACCTAACAGGGTGATGACAGTGGAAACTGAAAGAAAAGAGAAGGGTATGAAAATGTTCTTGGAAAAAGGCATTTGATCCCTACTGTAGTATGAAGAGATAATCATATTCACAGAGGAAGAGAGAACCACCTGAGTGGAGGAGAAGGCAATGATATAAATCAGTTGCAAAGTATGCCAGTTTAAGAGGTGTGGTGGTGTATACTTGTGGTGCCAGCTACTTGGGAGGTTGACAGGAGTGTGGTTTAAGCATATGAGCTGAAGACCAGCCTGGGCAACATAGTGAGACCCTGTCCCCCAAAAAAAACCCTGTCTCATTTTTTTTTAAGAAAAATATGTAAATAATTCATACACTCTCACAAATTTCAGTGTACCTAATATGATGGAAGCCTAAATCCAGCATTTATTGTTCTATGGAGTATTCCTTGGACAATGAAAAAAAGTAGGGATAAAGGAAAAAAACACATTTATTCTTTGTTTGACATAGTCTTTTGCAAGAAATGATACAGTAGAACGGGGGATGTAGCTCAGTGGTAAAGCATGCACGAAGTCTTGGTTTTGATCCTTAGCTCTATAAGGAAGGGGGGGCGGTCGGAGAGGAAGATATAATAGTGCTGCTAGCATGATAAGATGTCTCAAACATGCACTTGAAACAACTAGGAAGTGTACTATATGGAAAAATTACCTTAAAGCATCAGTAAATTGGTATTCCAGTTGTGAAAAAGAAGGGTTCTCTTTAATACATTCATTCGTTTCCCAATAAACCAAGGCTGTAAATACAAAGGCCCATTCATCTATTCGTAGCTTCTATTTAGCAATGATTGTATTCTTTGTGGTTCTAATATAGAAGTGAACAAATGGTTTGAAATGCATCATTTGAATATATTATGTTCCATGTCGGGTCCATAGAACTTGTTCTTTATAGTGTGTCTGTCTTGCAAACTCCTATTTTGAGATTACCAGCTTCTCAGCTGCTCTCCCAAGGAAGTACATCCTTTTACCCTATTTTCTTGTTTTCCAGATTTTTCTATTTTCAGCTAGCATTGTTAGGACCTAGCATGAATTCATAACCTCCCAAGATATCCTTGAAGTGTTATTGCCAGTTAGTATAGTAACTAGCACACTTAAAGAGAAACAGTTATCACACAATCATTTACCTGCAAAGCTAGTGCTTTTCCCACTACATGGCATTCTGGAGAAGCAGAAATGCCTCGGGAAATTTTCATTCTCATTTACTTCTTCCTAAAGATTCCTTTCTAATTTTATAACTTTGTTATATCATATCTCTGTAATTACTCTGATTTCCATAAGCAAATAATCCTGTCTTATTCATAAAAGAAGAGAGAAATATTACTTCTGAAAGGTATAAAACAGAATCTGGATCATAAAGATGTATCCAGAAAGGAGATGGAATGGGGCCTGTAAAGATGCTGTGTTAAGTTAATAAGATGAGTCTGAGACTTTTTTTTTTAAATGCATTTTACTCCCGAATAAAACTTTTAATGTCACATTTCTCCATTTGAATAATCTCTGGCCAGGGGAGTAGAAAACTGTAGAAACAGCCCTTTGCATGAAGGAGGTAATAGGTATTCTTTTGCAATGGCAGCAGGCTCATTTGAGATCTTTCCCTTATCTTGTATAGAATTGGTGAGCATCTGTTAGAAAATAATTTCCTAGCCCGGCATTGTGGCACACACCTGTAATCCCAGCATCTGGGAAGGCTGAAGCAAGAGGATTGCAAGTTTGAGATCAGCCTCAGCAATTCAGTGACATCCTGTCTGAAACGAACAAAAAGGCCTGTGGATGTAATTCAGTGGTAGGGCATTCCTTGGATTCAATTCCTGGTGCCAAAAAAAAAAAAAAAAATATATTTCCTAGGAAGCCAGATCATTGAGAACATCATTCTGTGTTTCAAAGGACATGGTGAAGAATATCAATGGTGATTTTTCCTCAGTCTCTTGAGACAGATTGTGAGTTCTCAGTATACATGTTAGTCCCTGAGTATATTTGCCCTTATGATAATTGTGGGTTCATAATTATTTTTAAGCAAGTTTTGCTTTGAGTATTAAATATATGAAAATTGAATTGGCCCCAATTTTTTTTGTAGTATTATCCCATTTCCTTTGGAAAATCATTTGAAGATAGAGTAACCTCTTAGCTGCCCGATATGTTATACACTGCTCCTTCTCATACATTTAAATGTAAAATGCTCTGTTTAATTCTAATCCAACTGTCTTTTGTATAATTTCAAACATGTTTGCATTTTCCCAGCAAGAAACAATGCAAATCTGTGTTGTGAAGTGGCATGATTTAGCCATTCTTGAGTCCAGATTCTTTGGGTGGCATCCATTCTTCTATTAGCTTGGATTTGGTCAGGTTTAATTATGATTCCTCACCATCCTGCAATTTATGGTATAAATAATAAAAAAGTTTCTATCTACCTGAACTAGTGATGTGAAATAAGAATCAAACCAAAAAAAGAGAAAGAAGTGCGATCACTGATTACTGGTATTGAATGAATATCATATGTTGCTGAGCAAGTTTAGCAAGATGAATAATAGAAATAGTGAGTCTCATAAGCATTCTCTCTTTGACAAACTTATCTGCATGTAGAGTAAATTGCTTGGCCAGCCAACCTGTCTGACTTAGTACCTGAGTTAGAGCTACCTTCAGAAAGACACTAAGGGAAGGTTTCCCTATTGATGCTGGTGGTAGCGACAGTGGGAAGTCTTTCAAGGGGATGCTAGTGAATGATTTCATCTTATAGTGTTGATGTTAGTGCTTGCTGTAGGATCTGCCATACTGTTGAACAATCAATCATAAGCCCTTTGTACAGCATACAACATTCGTTCTCTAGAAATTTTATTTGGGGTCTTATATCCAACACCAGAAATTTTGTACTGTTCTTAATTTGGTAAAAGAATAGTCATGGTCCTCACAACATCTTTGTTGCAACTGCTGTCGTGTTTTTTTTTTTTTTTTAAGGGAATATCTTTCTACCATACTAACTCTTAATTAAGTAGATTTTGCTTCTGTCATAGTTAGGAGCATTTTTTTACTCTTCCCTTGACTGTCACCTTTGTTCTTTGACTGGATTTCAGAACAGTGCACTTTGCAATAGGAATTAGGAATCTTCACTTTTGTCTATAGGGTCAGGTAAAATGATATTTTTACTCTTAGCAAATTGGAATCAGGTTATCTGGCCGGCCTACTGCAACCATGCAACTTGGCAAAGGTTCAATTACATTTTTATTCCCAGCACCGAGTTGTAGGTGTTCCTGCTGTTAGTATGAGATTGATTAGTCTTTTATGGATTTTACCAAAACTAATTGATTAGAATCAAAATCTCCATTTTGTGAGTTTCTAAGACTACCCCCAGGTTGGATGATTTATTAGATTTATTAGAACTCAGGAATCCATGTGTCATTGTACTTATAGCTGGGATTTATTACAGGGAAAGGATATAAGCATAATCAGCAAAGGGGAATGGTTCATGAAAATAAGTCTAGAGGAAGCCTGGCAAACTTCCTAGAGTCCCGTCCCAACAAAGTCAAGTTTGACATACTTAATTCCTCTAGCACAAATTGTGACAATATAGAAGAAGTGTTCTCAACTAGAAAAGCTCATTGCAGACTTGGTGCCCAAGGCTTTTTATTGGAGGCTAGTCACAAAGGTACCCTCTGCTTAGCAAGTACCAAAATTCCAGACTCCCTGAAAGCAGGTGGTCAGCATAAACCATATTGTTTGCACTGTTTAGGTACAGTGGACCTACTTAAAAGTTGGGGAGTGGTGGAAACACTCCCCCAAAGTTCCTATGTGCCAGCCAAGGACCAACCTCGCAAGCAGGCCTTTCAAAGCCTAGGGTAAAGCTTGCTATGTAAATTTTTTTTTAGCTACACACATCTCTCTTCCTAGCTCAGAGCATTCTCCTAAATTCTAGGACCATATTGTGATTGCTTTGGTTAATGTCTAGGCTATACCTGTAGAAGCTTGGATTTAATATATGCAGAATTGAAATAACTATCTTCCTCCAAACTGCTTCTCACCTTCTTTTTCCCTCTCAGCCAGTACCTTTACTAAATTCACCAGTTCACAGCAGAAAGGACTTAACTACACTGCCCCCAACCTATGTGGAGGTCAAGTAGGATTGGCTAGGTTCCAGGGGCCGGAATAAGCAACAGGAGTTCTTCATATTCATGACTAAGTGCAGAGTCAAAGGTCAAATACAAAATTGTGACCAAACACTGATAAGCCTTAAAAGGGGAAAAATGAATTTAAATAGGATATCAGGACAGGAGGGATTAAAGGTGAGATCAAAAGGTCTGGAAGAATTGGTCTAATGGGATGAATATGAGAATGATCTGGAGAAATATTGCAGACAGTAGCTGCTTCCCATATCTGAGTTGGATGATTTGTTGTATA